TGCCAATTGCAGCTAGCTATTGTGTGGCATTCGTTAACCTGGAACCTTTGGCTGCTGCCGGTTTCATTAGTTTTTCAATTTTTTTTTTATTTTGTATAAAACTAGCGGTACGGTCGCTTGTCACTCGAGGGCTTCGGTAACTCTCAGAGGTAGACGTAAAGAACAAGCAACAACCGGAAGTAAGCAGATAAGCGAAATTTATCGAATACTTCAGTTTGTCAACGTTTCAACCCACAATCGCATTTTGGTATATTTTGATACTTCTCCTTATTAAGGGGTTATAAGAAGGATACTTCAATTAATTTTATTTATTTCAAATTAATTTAATTACCCAAACTGTGACCTCTACGCACTTTGGAAAGTCAACGCACAGTATAGGTTTTTATCTGTCACCCGAGGATGTCTTGAGTCATTTCAAGCTTCTTGAAAAGCTCTAAGATTTCAATAGAACATTGCGTTAAAAAGTTCTGCCAACAAATAAGAAGACTTAAAATTAATATTACATCAATTTCATTAATCCTTTTCAATTTTTACAGAAGCACCGCTTCAGAAATCGGTATATTAATATATATATATAATTGGCGATTTCTAACCGCTAAAGCGATTTTCGGTCGAGCTCCTCTTCCAATCTGTGGTTTTGCGTCTTGATGCTTTCGCAACAAACGGAGGGGCTTACAGTTTGTACCAAGCCACCTCCGAACGGCTGATGGTTTTTATGTGGAGTCTTTATTTCTTTTCCGAAATACACTCGGAGGGGTTGACATTCCCTGCCGAGAGCGACCACAATTAGAATATTTTATTCATTTTTTTTTATAATTTTTAAATTAATTTATCACAACTTTTGGATGCCAGTCCAACTAGGATTTCAACCCGGGTCTTCGAGATGGCAGTACGCAGTGATAGTCACAGGGCTGCCGTAGCTGCTATTAAACTAAATTCCTATTTTATTAATTTTTTTTTAGTTCAAACACAGATATTTGTTGCACACTTCATCCTCCAATACGAGTTTCTGTGATTTTTCCCTACTTTTGACCGCAACTTGTAACTTGTAAAAGAAATTTCATGCTTTTAAATATTTACTTTACTTAAATTATACCAAAAAATCTCATAAAAGGTCCCAAAATTAGCACTAGTCTTAAATTTACCGTTATTTATATAGTAAAGTGTTTAAAGCCCTAAAATAAAACGAATCGAGAACTGAGAGCTCACAGGTAAGGCTTAATTAGAGTGAAGCATTACACGACAGGGAAGCGTGTCTTCATTGTTGCATAATATTCCAAAAGTGATGAAAGCTTGTTATCCGCATTCGAAATTTTCAAACAAAATATGATTGAACAAGTCCGGTAAGCTAAGCAAAAACAAGTGGTTCGAATGACAAGCAATGCATGAGAATGTTGGTGTCAATTCAGGAACCTCAATTTGATGTCGTAGAGAAGAACTAAAAATTTCAAGAAGCTCTCTTCAGCGTATACTTTAGTATAGATCTCTGTACCCATTCTTGCAAAATTCAATTAACAATAACACCTGAAGACTAGTGGCCATGAACAAAGAAGAGAGTTTTGTTAAATAGGTTATTGAGCATTGAAAACTTTTACTTTGAAAGATTTCTTAATAGCCATAATTGCCGCCCTTGTAGTGTTAAGAACACACATGTGTTTCTTGAAAAAAAAAAAAAACTTGAACCACAATACGTCCGTTTGGTATGGATTTTGGGCTGGAGGTATTATTGGACCCTACCATATTTAAAACGGGGTTTTTAAACGGGTCTGGTAATGACATAAAAACCCAGTACTTTTTGCGAAAATTGGATGACAATTTTTTGGCCAAAATGTGGTTCCAACAAGCTGGGTCCACTTGCCATGCAGACCGTGAAACACTTCAACCACTGCAGTCTCTTGTTTCAATGATCAGAATCGGCTACCTAAATCGTGCGATTGAACAGCATAAGATTCCGTTCACAGGTTTATTGCAACATTGCAACAGTGAAATTCAGCCACATTTCGACAAACGAGTGCGCATTCGCCCGTTGTGATATTTTATAAATAATTATGGCCTATGCACTTTATGATTCAGCTAAAAAATTGCAATCAAAAGACTAAAAAATTTGTTTTCTGATTATTTCAATACTGTGCTAATTTGAGACACCCATTATTAGAGAAAATTGATTTTTGATGTCTGTTCTCTTACGATAAATGAGTTATACCTACTAATGAATATTTGAAAATATTCGATCCTGGGTTGGTGCAGCGTACATATATTTATTTGTATTGGAGCTACTTATATGTACAAAAACTTATCTGATTTTATTGGTCAAGGAAGAAGTTCGTTCGTTTTTTTAAATTGATTTTTCAAAATATTATAAATTTGTGTACATTTGTCCGATTTTAGTCAAATATGCGCCCTTTTGTTCACAAACTTGTTGCCAATGAGATGCATACTTCGTTATACCCCTCCCGTAGAAGGCTGCGTCTCTATTGGCAAAAAACTCGCAGAGCCAATTTTCACAGGCCTCTCTTGAAGCCAACCTCTAACCATTAAGCACGTTCGCAATGGACAGGAAAAGATGGTAATCACTTGGTGCCAGTTCCGGACTTCTGGCGCATCGCAGAAGACCTGTGTGGCCTGGCGTTGTCCTGATGGAACACAATTCGGCCTCTCTTGTTGAAAGATGGCCTCTTCTGCCTTCAAGCGGTCTATTTTTTTTGGCCGTAGAGAGCCGAATTGAACGTTTGGCCATAGGGGAGCAGCTCGTAGTAGATGATTCCTTGCAAATTCCACCAAACATACAGCAAAACCTTCCTGACCGTCAATCCGGCCTTGGCCACCGTCTGAGCCGCTTACCCGAGCTTTGTCCACGACCATTTGCGCTCGATGTTGGCGTAAGTGATCCATTTTTCAACGCCAGTCACAAACTGCCCCAGAAACGGATCGATTTTGTTGCGATTCAGTAGCGATTCGCAGATAAAAATTCGGTCAATCATGTTTTTTTTGCATTAGTTCGTGTGGCACCCAAACATCGAGCTTCTTTTTGAATCCAAGGTTATGCAAACGATTCCAAACGGGTTTCTGGCTTATCTTTAGTTCATTAAATAAGTGCTCACGGTCTGTTTCCACTATTTCCATGATTTTATCGCAATTTTCTACGACACGCTTCCCGACGCGTGGTGCAACTTTGGCATCGAAATTATCGGGACGAGCCGAGCAAGCCACTTTTGTGATACACGTTCGTTTACAGAATCGGGCTCATATAATAAATTAATTTTTTTCAGCCGCTTTGGCTGAACTGTAAGTATTTTTTTAAAATTCAGTGTCTGGCAACATCACCGAAATTCCCATTTTTTCACAATTAAGAAGTCACAATTGGTCACAAAGTGAGGTAAAGAGATATAGATTTCATTACTAACTTAATTGTATTGGTGATCTGTGGACTTTCATGTCAGCCAAATGCTTGAAGAACATCTTTCCGAACTTCCGAAACTTAGGGTGGTATACATTATAGTGTATTTTAATATATTTTTATCTAAATTTCTTCACCCCGCGCTAATCGTAATGCCAGAAAATTTGTAAGAAAATATTATTCGAAAATTGATTCAAAGCGAAACCTTCACAAACATTCTAAAAATATGCCTAGAATTCATCAAAAGCAGTAATTGAGGTCGTTGAGGGAGAGCTAATACTAAATTGTGCTTCTTCGAAGAAATTGGTAAATCAATGACATCGTAATTGCATTTTCTTCATCGGCTCTTTGATGCCTTTTCGCAACAATTTCCATGGAAAGACTTAATGTTGACATAATCGGCCCACTGAGCGTACTATTCGCAACACCATCACCCAGCGTGAGGCCCAACATCTAATAATGATTGGATAATATTCGACCATATAAACTACGTCCAGCCCACAATGAAGACGATGTAGCGGCCGTATCTGAGAGTTTACACGAAGGCTTTGAAGAGTCGATACGGCAGTGTTCGCAGCAATACGGACTGGACGGATTGACGCAAGGAACGACTTGATGCATTTTACGTCGAAATCTTAAAATGAATAATTTTCGAAGAAATGTGGACCGTGGAATGAATGTATAAAATAAGGCTTGTACATGAACTGAAGCCGCTAGACCAACCCAACCGACATCGCTGAGCTCTAAGGGCTTTTGAAAAGTTCCAAGAAGATCCAACGTTCTCAAGACAAATTTTGTTCATCACCACTATGCCCATTTACGGCTCAAGGAAAATATCCGTTTTTGGTACGAAGAGCAATCTAAAGAGTTACAAAAACTGCCATTTTATTCAGAATAAACAATGGTTTGGTGTGATTTGTAGGCTGGTGGTATCAACGGTCCATATTTCTTCCAAAATATGCCGAAAAATTATGAACTTAACCGTCAATGGCGACGGTAATAGCGTCATGATAGCCGACCATTTGATGCCTGAAATTGAAGCCCGTGATCTCGGTGGCATTTGGTTTCAACAGCACGCGGCTACTTCACGTTTTGGGCCGACCGATTGGCCTGCAATTTTGTGTGATATCACACCGTTAGACTTTCTCCTGTTGAAATATGCAAAGTCTAAAGTCTATGCGGACAATCCCACTCTGACTCAGGCCTTGCAGCATTTTACGCGTGTGGTTCGCTACTTTCCAGTCGATATGCTCGAATGAGTCATCAAAAATTGGACTTAGTAGTTGGACTATCTGAAATATAGCCGCGTCCAACATTTGAAAGAGATATTTTTAAAAAAGAATATGCCCAAAGAATTTTCTTTCAAATGATAATAAACATTGCGCATAAAATTTGAATTTCCTTTGTTTTTTCTTCAAAAAGTGGGAAGTCTCGAATCTATATTCCGTAGAAATATTGATAGATAAAAAAGTTGTAATTTTTTTGCAATTTCCCCAAAAAAATATGGTCTGAGACAGTTCCATAAAACTTAAAATCAAACACAATTCAACAAAGCCATAACCTGGAAAAGAAAAAAAATACATTTGCTCAAGAAGAAACGTACTCAGCCATAAACTAGCCGCTGAGCGCATCCTTCCACTGATCGCTTACTCCTTTTGAAAGCAACGACATATGTACATACATACACGCAATCACTCGTGAGGTTATCACTCTATTGATCCGCAACGAATTGTCAACAACTTGAAGCTGTCAACTTCACTTTTATTTTGCAATTTTTCTAAGCTTACTTTACGCTCATTACACGATGTGTTCGATATTTTTTTTTTTATTTTTATTCTTTTGTTGTCTATCGCACTTGTTAACTAACTGCGCTGTGTATTTGCGCTATTTATATCCTGTCGCACACATGTACATACTCGTAGATATATATTTTTACATATATATTTATATATACACCAACAAATGAACGGGTACATATGTAACTGTTTACCTAACGGCACTTCATTTTGTTTTTCATGTCATCTTATTTATTTCATTTTTGTATTTCCTTTTTCTTTCATTTTTATTTATTTTTCTTTTAATATATGCGCGTTGTTGTTGTTGCTATTGCTTGACAAATCCGTTTCGATTATTATGCAAACAAGCAAATTGCGAGAAATCGAAACTTTCTCCTTGTCAACAACACAATACGACAATATCTTTTAACTAGCGGCAGTAAACACACACATTCATTTACACATGCTTTACACACACATGTAAGTACATATATATACACACACACGCACTTATCCTTGTTGCGTTCGATGCGCTTAACTGAGATACCAATAAAAATCAGCTTAATATTTCCAAGAAGAAAAAAGTGAAAATAAAACAACAACACAGATAAGCTCGTAGTGGCTGTAGCAACAATTGCACAACAAATGGTGAGATGACAATAATAACAACAACAGCTACTGCAGATAATAAACACAAAACACAAAAAAAAATTAAATAAAAAAATAAAATAAAATAAAAAAATAAGAGCTACAAATTACGAGATAAGCGTATCGAGTTACAAATGTCAATAACACTCGCAGTCAGGTTGCTTGTCTCGAGTAAGGTGAGCGAGACAGTAAACGGATATACCTGTGTGCACAAACAACAACATTACATACATACATGGCAGCATGCTTGTGAGCGGCGGCTGATCAAATTGGTAAACAGATATTATAGTATATAAACACATATGAAAGAACATACACACACATACCATATTTTAAGAAAAAAATTTAAAAACTTTTAGAGACTGATTTTAGAAAATTTATTGATTTTTTTTATTAGAAAAAAATTTCAATTTGATTTTAAACACGTTTTTGTGTTATTAAAACATTAATAATTAATAATAAAATATTTCAAAATATTTTAAAATTAGTATAAGTTGTTATGCCTTAGTAAGGGTTTTGGCTCTCTAGCATTTTTATACTTCAAAACAGTACAAACTTTTTGTTTGAATTTTACCGAATTCTTCTTCATATTCATTTTCTTCTTTCTATTTAATGGCGTAGACGATTATAGCCCAATCATATTATATCATAATCCATTCAAACGCTCTATGTACGACCGAACGCACACAAAGTACAGCCGGTAGACGAATGTTTATACGACGGGATTAACAAAACTTCGGTCAGTTGGTGACTTTTAATTTGTTTTTTTTTTTAAATCTAAAAATACCAAATCCTTTGCAATTACTTTATTAGTCTTGCTTTAAAATTTTAGAACAAACGGCTTAAGCGGAGACAATAAAATGCAAGAGTATAGGTCAGACGAAGTCCCACCATCTCTCTTCGGGTTTCGGCGTAATTTAAAGCTAATAAAAATATTCAGTGAATGTCAAATTTCATGTGGAATGAAATTCGAAGATTTCAGACTGTAAATTTTTCCGTAAAAGGCGAACCCCAAGAACGTCGACAAAATTCTTCCACTGATGACATCACTCGGGTGAATTTCAAAATAGCCGAACACCTACGATTGACATGTGAAATAATTGCTAATTGTAAAAGTTGTAATTGAAAAGAATTCCTCTTGAATTTTATGTGGCTAGGAAAACGAGTTTAAAGCTGAAAGCGTTGAGATCTTTAAAGCGCACTTCCCGAGGCTGTATCTCCGAAACTTTTATTCGTATCATATTGGAAATTTAAAACAGCATTTTCGAGAAACTGTAGAAGTAAATAAGTCAAATTGCGGTACTGTGACCCAAAGTAAGCCACTTAAACGTTTAAATGAAAAATATGTTTTTGTATTGTGGTTATGTTGAATACAGATTACAGACCACGCTCACTACGCGATCACACATTTTTTGCAAAGAGTACTTTGCAGTTGTTCAACTCAAATAGAATCGAGTGAGGAAATGAAGGAAGATGGTTTGAAATCAAGTAATTGTGTTAATTATGCGCCCGCATTCATTTTTTCTGACTTGGCTGTTTTCTCGCGTTTCTTAGATCTTTTAAGTCTTACATCCAGGCAATAGAAATAGCGTTGTTTTCTTATTTCAAAAAAAGTTTTTAAATCATCCTTCTTTTGACGGCTATTCTATCGGCTTTTGATAGTTCGACTTCTATGTGAAATTTTATTTTATTTTATTTTATTTTATTTTATTTTATTTTATTTTATTTTATTTTATTTTATTTTATTTAATTTTATTTTAATTAATTTGATTTTATTTTATTTTAATTAATTTGATTTTATTTAACTTATTTTATTTTATTTTATTTATTATTATGATTTTTTTGTCAAATTCACGAAATAAAAAATTTTTGTGCGTGGTGACCGTTTCGCTCTAATTAATTTTTGACGCGCAGCTGATTTAAGATAAACAATATTTTATTTTTAAGTAAGTAAAGTTTTTGTTCGAAATTCAGGCAAAACCATACCTGATCACTAGTAAACTAGGGAAAAGTTGTTGTGTGTACATACATTTTTTCCACTCGGCAACCAAACACCGAGACTCGAACAGGCAGGTAGTGACATTTAGCTGTGACCGCAATATATTTTTGTTGCATTTCTACAAAAAGGATTTTCAAAATGGCGGAAAAGGATGTCTTATCAACCCCCTTTGTAATATTTTCGCCGAAATTAGTTCCGCTAGCAAATGTATAAAAGAAGCACCATATCGTCGTAATATTCAGAAACTGATCAGAAGTCGAACGATTGTGTCACGATTACGAATTCAAATTTAGAAGAAAAGAAAAGCAATGGAAAATTTTTGCTCGAAATGTGGTGTACCGGAATACGGAATGACTGACCGAGAACAAGCTATGCTGGAAGAACAAAAAGATCCAAGCAACTGCTGCTTTCGAGCTACAACGTTTACCAATATGATAAGATCTTATTTGTCGGCTACAGAGTTGACAGAAGCGGAAGGAGTTATTCTTTGCGGACCCCCTGCTTCGCCGGATTACAAGGACAATGATCGGAACATTGAGGTGGAAGCCAAATACAGCAGCACGCCACGCAATATAATAAGTTCGCCGTCTTCTGAGTTGGTAGAAGAAGAAATCGAATTTAATTACAGATGCCGAATTTTGTCGACCGGTGAATGGATTGATGCAGAAGGAGTTTTGCATTCTAGGCCTCCTTCCCCGCCAGATTATGATCTTATCGGCCAGGGATCTGTAGTGGAAGCACTTAATATTTTGCTACCGTGCGGGGGGGTCTGCCATAGACTTCCTTATTTGCCATACTCAGACATCTCAGAGCAAAGCCTTGAGGACAATGATCACATCGTTGAAGTGATAGCAAAATACGATAGCTTACAAGGCATAGGAAGAGTTTCGCCGTCTCCTGAACCTGTGGATGGGGAAATCGTAATCAATTGTAGACGGCGAGTTTTGTCGACCGGCGAATGGGTTGATTCAGACGGAGTCATTTATTCTAGACCTCCCTCCCCGCCAGATTCTGATCATACTGGACAAGGATCTGAAATGGAAGCATTCAATATTTTGCCACCGTGCAGAGAGGATTGCTATAGACCTTCTTATTCACCATACTCAGACAACTCAGACCAAAGTCTTGATTTCGAGGACAATGATCGAGACGTTGAGGTGGAAACAAAATACAAAAGCTTACAAGGCATAGGAAGACTATCGTCGTCTCCTGAACTAGCAGAAGAACTAATCGAAATCAATTGTAGATGTCGAATTTTGTCGACCGGCGAATGGGTTGATGCAGAAGGAGTTATACATTCTAGACCTCCGTCCCCGCCAGAATATGATCTACATGGACAAGGATCTGAAATGGAAGCATTCAATATTCTACTACCGTGCAGAGAGGACTGTTATAGACCTTCTTATTCACCATACTCAGACAACTCAGAGCTAAGTTTTGATTCACCGTCACATGAGATGTTTTCAACGCCCATAAAAACCAGCACGCCAATAATATTGAAGGAGTACGTTTCGACTCCCACATCAACTATAAGAGGCTTGAGAAGAAGACGTTTAAATTTCAGCATAGAAGAAGATGAATATGAAAGCAGTTCAAATGATCCTTAAGCAAGAAGACATTTGGGCCAATTAAATATGGCCAATTAAATAAATTTGCTAAAATTAAAAGTAAGATAGTTAAGCTTATATAAATACATCATAAAATGTAACAAAGCTGTCTTCCATTTATGAATTTGTGAATAAATATTCCCTTGTGTAATAAAAGATATATCTTTCTTATGAATGTGATTGTAGCGCATAAAATAGTACCTGCGGTGTCGTACGAAATTTTAAAGTTCCCTCTGCAATTCTCTTAGCAGACCGAAACCCGAGAGCCAGGGGAAACGGTATAAGAGCAACACTATGAAAAGACGGTAAATTATACAAAAAAAAAGGGGTATACACACACCAATAGACTAACAGCGATTTCCGAACACAAAAGTTGCAAGAAACTTTTCATTTTAAAAATATGAATATAAAAAATATCTGCCATGCAAAAATCAAAAGAAATATAGGCCGTCTGGCTTAACCTTCTCTTAACACCCTTGCTATGGCTTCATAGTTCTTGACAAGAAAATTTGTTTATAAATCTAAGTTAAAATTAGGGTTGAATTGTTAAAAAAATATATAAATCAATAGAAAATAGTATATATAAATATATGTAACGCAGGAAACTTA